CCTTGATACCAGGCAGGGCAGCAACAAGTACAACCATTTAACATCTTTTGGCATGGCACAACCAGGATATCGTACGATGGACACTGTATCCTCTACACCATGAAGGTCCGTCTCCGTTACTGTTCGAGCTATCCGATAGCTGAAGGGCTAACATCGCTTTGGGGAAACTGACCCAGGGGTGTACATGTTCTTACTACAAGAAAAAGGTTTGGTGAAGGAATATTCAGACATGAGTGAAAAAGCATTCATGAAAACATCTTACTGAATTTTTTGGAAAACTACAGAACATCAAAGCCGCACTCACCCACAATTCCCATCCCCCACTTGGCCTCTGACTGTATATCATTGCTGCACCTTACTGAAGGAGATTTGTGGTACGTTCCACGATGCCGTTTTATGTGATTTGCTGTATATCCCATCACAGACATTACAGAAAAAGCTACTTATATAATTATCGTGTAATCGTAAATACCTTGTTTTAATGACATTATTCATTATGGCATAAGAGACGCAAGTATGCTCTAGTAATTGGTGCACAAACTGAATTAGTTTCATGAAAAGTGTATCATTTGCGGCACTGCCAAGGCGTGGAGGAATTAGATTCCGTTCTCTGTGACTACTACACAAATATCGTCGATATCTGACATAGAGACAAATGGGTCTGCTTAGGTCAGTAATAGTCATATTTGGTGGAAGTTGTCATATCAGGGTATAGTACTTTAGTAAGTAGTCATACTTGACTTGGACATACCTGGTAGAGTCATATTTATTTGGAGTAGATAAGCCAGGTGTAGTCATATTTGAAGTAGATAAGCCAGGTGTAGTCATATTTGGAGTAGATATGCCAGGTGTAGTCATATTTGGAGTAGATAAGCCAGGTGTAGTCATATTTGGAGTAGATATGCCAGGTGTAGTCATATTTGAAGTAGATATGCCAGGTGTAGTCATATTTGGAGTAGATAAGCCAGGTGTAGTCATATATGGAGTAGATATGCCAGGTGTAGTCATATTTGAAGTAGATAAGCCAGGTGTAGTCATATTTGGAGTAGATATGCCAGGTGTAGTCATATTTGAAGTAGATAAGCCAGGTGTAGTCATATTTGGAGTAGATATGCCAGGTGTAGTCATATTTGAAGTAGATATGCCAGGTGTAGTCATATTTGGAGTAGATAAGCCAGGTGTAGTCATATGTGGAGTAGATATGCCAGGTGTAGTCATATATGGAGTAGATAAGCCAGGTGTAGTCATATATGGAGTAGATATGCCAGGTGTAGTCATATTTGGAGTAGATATGCCAGGTGTAGTCATATATGGAGTAGATAAGCCAGGTGTAGTCATATATGGAGTAGATATGCCAGGTGTAGTCATATTTGGAGTAGATAAGCCAGGTGTAGTCATATATGGAGTAGATAAGCCAGGTGTAGTCATATTTGGAGTAGATATGCCAGGTGTAGTCATATTTGGAGTAGATAAGCCAGGTGTAGTCATATATGGAGTAGATATGCCAGGTGTAGTCATATTTGGAGTAGATAAGCCAGGTGTAGTCATATTTGGAGTAGATAAGCCAGGTGTAGTCATATTTGGAGTAGATATGCCAGGTGTAGTCATATATGGAGTAGATATGCCAGGTGTAGTCATATTTGGAGTAGATAAGCCAGGTGTAGTCATATTTGATGTAGATAAGCCAGGTGTAGTCATATTTGGAGTAGATATGACAAATGTAATCATATTTGGAGTAGATATGCCAGGTGTAGTCATATGTGGAGTAGATATGCCAGGTGTAGTCATATATGGAGTAGATATGCCAGGTGTAGTCATATTTGGAGTAGATAAGCCAGGTGTAGTCATATTTGAAGTAGATAAGCCAGGTGTAGTCATATTTGGAGTAGATATGCCAGGTGTAGTCATATGTGGAGTAGATAAGCCAGGTGTAGTCATATATGGAGTAGATATGCCAGGTGTAGTCATATTTGAAGTAGATATGCCAGGTGTAGTCATATGTGGAGTAGATATGCCAGGTGTAGTCATATTTGGAGTAGATATGCCAGGTGTAGTCATATTTGGAGTAGATATGCCAGGTGTAGTCATATGTGGAGTAGATAAGCCAGGTGTAGTCATATGTGGAGTAGATATGCCAGGTGTAGTCATATTTGGAGTAGATAAGCCAGGTGTAGTCATATGTGGAGTAGATATGCCAGGTGTAGTCATATTTGGAGTAGATATGCCAGGTGTAGTCATATATGGAGTAGGCGTATCAGGTTGTGCCATATTAGGAGTAGACGTATAAGGTGGAGTCATATTAGGAGTAGACATATAAGGTAGAGCCTTATTAGGAGTAGACGTATGAGGTAGAGCCATATTAGGAGTAGACATATAAGGTAGAGCCATATAAGGAGTAGACGTATAAGGTAGAGCCATATTTGGATTAGACACACCATAAAGACGTCATACGTGAGTTGGCGTTTCACGTCTGGAATGGATTTGCTCGACGATGAAAAAAACTTAATGAATAGGGTCGGCCTGTTGAAAATTCTAATAAAATCATGTGCACAGTTTCTCCGGTCCAGACTCCATCACTTCGAGGAAACCTACACATGGCGTCAATAAGACTAACTAAGGAATTTTAAAAAAAACTGGCAGAGACAAATTAGATCAAACCATTATTAGTGGAATTCATGTCAGACCTACAATTTAAACCCTTCATTTTAGTTTGTGATTTGCCCTAACGCTTCCATCTCCCATAGGTGCCCAGAGACATGCATGTTCCCAAACCATTCCGAAAATAGATAGGCCTGTATATCAGCCATTTCATCCATCAGCTGGCATCAGAATGAGACATTCACGACCAGTATGTTCAACAGGATATGAAACTCGTACAGGATATGTACTCGCTGTACATGTCGTGTTGCTTCTTCTTGTAATGAACCTTACCTTACTTTGTAACAAAGGTCTCCGCCAAATTTATTATGAGAAAATCTAATCAGAACCTTTTCACTCTAGCCTGTATATATTAACAAGATTTAAAATTGGATTTGTGTCGTAGTAGTTGGTCTGATGTTGGATGGGAACCTAATATAGTCATTGTGGGAGGTTATTACAAACACATATTTCAAAAACGCAAAGTCGAAAGCTCGCCATGCTCTCAACATTTGTCAAATTAAACTGGGTGAGTGAAGGCTTTTTAACATCCCATTAATCTCTATTTAAGCATGTATATATCAGACCTGTATATCAAATCTAAACTGGACAATATCCTGATTGAAGCATCCCACGAATAAACCAATTCAACGAACCTGACCACCCCCTCCATCTAGTGGCGAAACGCACAGGTTGTTTGTCGCCAAACACCCTGAATCCCTGTAGACATGCAAGAGAGGCCGTTCAAACTCAGAAGTGGATTTATTAAACAACAGCTTGAATCAAAAATAGCCATCACGACTTTCAAATCACATTTGATAGAAACAGACACGTACATGGTAGGGTTGGCAATAATCGGTACAACACCCGGGACAGTATGATCATTGCTTTTTGCACTGGCTTTGAGCACAAACCTTAACCATGAATCAGTTAGCATTTTCATAAAACTCCATTTTTTCTACATAAAACCCTATTTATTGTGTAATATAAACGTTTATTCCTTTGTATCTTTCTGTGACATTAAAAACACAGGGTATTATCGAAACTTGGGCCATATATGCTTTTCTGATTATTTGACAGCAACTTTCATTATATTATTGTCCGAGGCTGTATTATCTCTGATATAACGTAATCAAATCAGGACGAACGGCGCCACACATAACAGCTAATGCTATGTTCATAAGATGAAGTCACTGTCAGGTTATGTATCACGCAAGCCTATAAGAAGACCGCAAAACAACTCGTGTGTTTATTCCCTCTGAGGATAGGAGAATCGAATAAAGCTCCTTATCACGTTAAGCTGATCGATGAGACATGTTGTGACAGTTGAAATGGGGATATATGCATCGTAAACACAACGTGTGACCGTATAATCAAATCGATTTCCTATTCTTTGAAAGTGCTCAGTGTTCAGCTCTAAACAAGAGGGGTTGAAGTACCATGAGAGTTGCTAATCCCCTTATAGGTACAGGATGTGTAAAAAGCAAACATAGGTGGGGAGTCCACCGTGTCAGTACATCAGAATATTAACGTAAATATTTTTCTCACTCTCAAATCGTGAGTGGTGCTTCACAAAAAGGCGTCCTCTGAGACGGAACATATGACAAGTGTTAGCTTATCGACAGCAGTCAAGTAAAGAGGCGGTTTCCTGTGGAAAAGATAAAGTTAATTAGGGAGGCAAGGATCGTGTTTTTCTTCTTCAAATTTATTCTGAACTCATGTTTAAAAGAAGAAAATAATGGGCATATCATACACAGGCCTATGGCTCTGAGGATTATGATTATGAATTGTGGCATTGTGCACGTGTTGTTACGGTTCGTGAAGGATTCAAGTTTAACACGTCGCAATTTATAACATACTATTTATTTTGGTTTACACTTTCTCAGTAAAGTACATAATGTAATACCTTTTTCGCTTGAGTCACGTCCGAGATTCCAACACACACTGTCGTTTTCTAGGTCCTAGGTGTCGGTTCTTGGACGCAACCCCCGAAGTGCTAGATTCTGTACTTTACTAAGAAAGTGTAATCCCAATTATAACAAATGTTCCATTTGACCACTTTCTAAATGACACTGTGAATAGTGGTCAGTGCACACACAATAAACTCAGGACAGCGCAGAATCCAGATAATATTGACTCCGATACTGATGTCTAAATGTTTCAGAATTTATTGAACTTCTACATTACAAAATTACTGTTATGATGGAACAGTTATTTATTCGTTGTATAATTCTATGTATAATGTATGTTTTCAATCATATGTGTATCTTTGCTTATGTAAAAACCAATTAATATTTGCATAAAATGTCAGTCGTTATGTCTTTCCTACTTGTTATTAATCTATTTTTCTTTTATCTTTTCAGAAAGTCTCAGTCTTTGTGTCAGTTCTGACGCTGACAGCTATATCCATGGAGAGATGGATGGCGATCTGTCGTCCCTTGTGGTTCCGACAGACGTCTGTGAGAGCTAAACGGATCATTGTGTTATTGTGGGGTATATCATTCGCAGCTGCCATTCCTGACTTAGTAGTATTACAAACATATTACATCGAACGATATAACCTTACAATTTGTCAGCCGAGCTGGGATCTGAAGTTTGAGAAAATAAGCTTATTAACAATACTCGTGCTGTTTTACTTCATTCCTCTGCTAATTATGACGTTCGCATACGCAAAAGTTGCCATTTGCCTGTGGCGAAGTGGATCAGCCAATGAATCGACAGGTAAGCATTTATTTCTTCATACTATTCTCATTCCGCTTCCGGTTACAAAATTGCAATGCCTCTTAGGATTTTGTTATGTCATTAAATCTGATTTCTTTCTCCGATACAAAACCTCTGTGTGTGAAGATCTCAGAAAAACCCTTTATGAGTTCTTGCCAGTAAATCAGTCAATCATCTCTTCTAATTTTTTTGGTATTTGACCGAAGTTTTCAGTGGCATAGATGCACGTTATTGTTCCAGTAGATCGATGTTTATGACGTCAGTCACTGGATTGTCTTCTCCAGACTCGATTATTTACCGCCACCATAAAGCTTGAATATTGCGAGTGCGACATGCACAAACCTTCAAAATGCGACAATAGTAACCTTATCAATGTCACATCGACACGATATTTTGTGGATAAGTAATAGTGAACAAATTCAAATTGACACCTAACAGTAAATTAGCATGGTGTCACATTCGTACACGAGTTCCTCAGAATATATGTCATGCTACTCCATGAAAGCGATATTAAGTTTACCGCGTGAACGATATCCCATCTTAATATAATTATTCCGAATATGAAATGAGCAAATGCCAACCGACCTTCATAAATCAAATCGATAGGTGACAAAATGTCTATCGCTAAACTGACATTATAAGTGCACCTTGATGTTATATGCAAAATGGTTAAACATACTACATACTACATTGATTTGAATTAATGACTTGATGCGTCAAGATTTTCCTCAAGTCTGGTAACATTCTTAACTTGAGCGCTGCACTATAAAGAACAGTCATAATATAACTTTAATAGATTTTGATAGAATCTGGAACACATTTGAAGCCTGGGAGACAAGAGTTAGGTCCTCTCATATACCTAAGAAAACGAGTCCATAAGATTCTCCAACTCCCTGGGCCAGAATATAGTGGAAAGGCCCTTAGGGTTATAGTACTCTCTAATACCTCTCTGTCGATATTTAGCACAACAATGCCCTTCGCTGACTATCCACATATACAATGTATTACACTTGGAGCATTGAATAACACTGCTACACTGAATAACACTGGCACCTGAGAAACATCGGGAAGATCAGGAAGTACCTTAATGGAGACACCGCAAAGTTTTTGACACACTGTTATATAACTGCCCGTCTGGACTATTGCAACTCACTGGTCCACGGGGCCGCAGCAGTGCAACATCTCCAGAGGATTCAGAATATTGCTGCACGAGTCATCACAAGGAGCAAAATGATCGCCCACATCACTCCAGTGCTCAGCAGTTTACACTGGCTCCCTATCAAGCAGCGTATACACTACAAGATCCTCACCTTGACGTACAAAGTATTGTACAGTGACACTGCATCATCGTATTTGAGGTCCCTACTTCACAAGCATTGTCCGAGGCGCTCCCTACGTTCAGCAGAAAACGACCTCCTCACAATCTCACACACAGACAGCAAAACGGGTGCTAAAGCATTCTCTGTGAAGGCTACCACTTTGTGAAATCACCTGCCACAAACGATAAAGAGTGCAGAGACCTACTCATCACTGTGTACCCTTGTGAAAACTTTTCTTTTCAATGATGCCTACAACTCCAATTCTTAAAGTTGACATACCAGTCAGACAGTTTTAAGCGCCACTGAGCAGCAAAAGTTTGAAGGAAGGCGCTATACAAATCAATTATTATCATATATATTATTATTTCATGACACCCTATACACGGGAGAGAAGATTTGTAATTGAGAGTGTGATTTTGGTAATATCACATATTCACAATTTTTCAGTCATAGCTTAATGCCTAGTTCGATGCATAAACCACAGTGATACATGTATCTTCCGTTTTCGTTGAAAATGTGCAAGCGCACGATCGTACGTTTCTGGCACGTCTGAAGGACGGACTTATCCACAGCGAATTACAGCACAACTCGTCTATCCATAATTGCCCACCTCTTCTGCAATACACCAAATTAGTCATAATGACACAGACTAATCATATGAGGTAGGTGCAGTCAAACACGGCTGTGTCGAAGTTGAAGAGACCTATGTAAATACTTCGAGCTATCCGAGGTTCAGCTCATCAGCAAAACGGTGAATAAAGAATAGAACAGAGGAACCATGCTTTTACTTCGAGCTCTCCGAGGTTCAGCTCATCAGCAAAATGGTGAGTAAAGAATAGAACAGAGGAACGATGCGTTTACTTCGGGACAACCGTTGTTTCGACAAACTCGAAGTTCGACACAGCAGTGTTTGTTTGTCTCGATTTACTTATTTCCGAAATACATCAGTTCCAATCCTTTGTGAGAGAATAAAATCCTCAAAAATGCGTCAAATCTGGACTGTAAGTGTCGCGGTATTGAATTCGTCCTCTGTGGTAGTCTCTCTGTCTCATACAGCCTACTTGTTCCTAATCTCATAAAGAACAGATGTCAACACATCACCCTGTTGATACTCACGCGTGAATCTCACCAACGAACACGTCTAGACGAGACGACGACGAGATTCCTGCTTGAGTCTCCTATTAATACTCTTTAAATGGTTACGACGGTTTCTTTGACACACACGTGATGTGCTAAGTAGCGCACTTGCTGTATGCATTTGGGGGATTGTGTCGCATTAAAAGACAATTAGTTACACTATTGAGGGGCACTTGGCGTTTTCCCCATCTATTTTATGTGCTTAACAACGTTAAAAGGTTTTTTTCGGGATTTGAATCACATACAAACGTTCATATGATGAAACTGTCTTCTCAGAAGGCATGTTATTGACAAGTTAAAATAAATAATGAAATTATAATATCCGTCATAACAATGTAAAAACTGACATAAGTAACGTGAAAAATTTTATAATATTATATCAAAACGATTACAAATGTAATTCTGTTTAAAATGTTATCTCCATCTTTGTATATAATATCTGTATTTCTTGATATATTTTCCAAGTACATGTGAGTTAACTGCATGAATCAATGTAAATTCCATCCATCTCATTAGGTGCCTGACTCCGAGGGTGTCGGTTCGAGTCCCGGATGGGACTCAACTCAAAAAGTACTAGAATTTGTACTTTACTAAGAAAGTGTAATCCCAAATATAACATATTTTATTATATCTATTGTTGTTATTGGTGTCTCATGTACCACCGCTGATCTATGTTGACTATGTATGTATCTTTCATATGCTCATCATGTATAAAGTGAACTTTCAACCTTTACAACCAGATTAAGTAAATACCTTTTGAAGATCGTTAATATCTATCTCGTTACAGAATATGGTTTTATTCATGTATATTTATTAATCATTTCGTGAAAAAATAGTATATTGGACAAAATGAATATTAGCATACGAGTCTTATCTTGGTACAAAATGTCATTATAGTTCCAGTTTTGGTCTAATTACAAGACATGTACCAGATAACATGTCAAAGTCGACCTAATTGTGGGAAAAAGACTATTAAACAGGTCTATAAAACCATCCATCCGAAATAAAATGACCTCATTTACCATGAAACCAAGTTATATTATCTTTGAACAGAAGCTCTTACACTGCAACGATATCATGTTTCATTTACTTTAACCCATTATGTTGTGAAGTGAGTACAAATAGTATTTACTTTCTCAATACTATGCCTCATGCTTGAATCGAAAAGATGAGTGATAGTGAATGTTGAGTTTCCCGATGCTTATATCAGTGATTCGTACCAACTCGTATTATTCCTGTACAAGCCCAATAGTCGTCTTGCAGGTTAGGGAAATGGGTGAGTGCTGACGAATGCTTGAATTCATGTAGTAGTGAGTCTGTAGAGTGGAGGAGAGAAATAATCGTCTTGCAGGTTACGGAAAAGGGTGAGCGGTGACGAATGCTTGAATCCATGTAATAGTGAGTCTGTAGAGTGGAGGAGAGAAATAATCGTCTTGCAGGTTACGGAAAAGGGTGAGCGGTGACGAACGCTTGAATCCATGTAATAGTGAGTCTGTAGAGTGGAGGAGAGAAATAATCTTCTTGCAGGTTGAGGAAAAGGGTGAGCGGTGTCGAATGCTTGAATCCATGTAATAGTGAGTCTGTAGAGTGGAGGAGAGAAATAATCTTCTTGCAGGTTGAGGAAAAGGGTTTATTAGTGCTGACGAATGCTTCAATTCGTATTATGTCTTACTGACAATAACAGAGAGAGAAAGAGAGGGAGGCAGAGAGAGAGAGAGAGAGAGAGAGAGAGAGAGAGAGAGAGAGAGAGAGAGAGAGAGAGAGAGAGAGAGAGAGAGAGAGAGAGAGAGAGAGAGAGAGAGAGAGAGAGAGAGAGAGAGAGAGAGAAATGTTTATTAAATTATCACGTGCTTTGCAATAAAATATAATACAGTACATTTCACTACAGACATACATTAAACACAAAAAGCACCCGGCCATTTGGTCTATGAGACACTACATTCACAAGCATTATAACAAATATAATAACAAATAACAAATGCGTCAGTATTTACATTTTTTTTTAAAATACCAGAGCAAATTCGAACACACACTCATCGGATCCAGGTATAAGTAAGGGACAATGCCCCCTTCCCCGACAGGTGAACACTGTAAATTTGTCATCCTCAGTTGCGATGGTTACGGCTATGCGCTATATCACTTCCATCGTCAACACGTTGCCCGAGGCTTCGACGACTGCATTGATTGGCCTCGAGTCGATTATTTACAGGAAGTTGTGAAATAGCCAGAATGTTGCTGAGTGCCCGTAAGTAACAGTCGTTCCCAAGCTCAGCCATGAATAGTAAACCCCACCAACACTATCGACAGTGATCGATCATTTGATTTTACTTGAATCCATCGGTAAGCCTAGCTATTTATCTATTGCATCACTCAACGAACGCCTATTAAAGATAACACTAGTTACATGTGATGGTATTTAACGACAAATAGTTCTCTAATTGAACACCGTTGATGGTATGATGGCCCAAGTAATGACAACGCATTGGTTAGTGGGGCATTAGTTCTATTTTGGTGAACATTTACACGAGTACATTAACTTCACAC